ATGTGTTTCCGTGCGCTTATGCTGCGTAAGCGCAACTTAGAGAGGAGGGTGATGTAACTCCAATTACATAAGTAGGTAGATATTTCTTTAGTTATTACATAAGTAGGTAAGGTGGCACACGGGTAGTGTGTGCCAAGGTGTCATCATCTGATTGGTTGATAGTGAGGAGCCAGACTCACTTATTGACCAATCAGATATAGACATGTGTTTGAGTGGTTCACACGAGGCCAGGGGTAGCCGCCCTGGTCCTAAATAAATCAGAGTTGAATTTGACACAAACCTAAGACTTGGTTTTATTATTGCGAGCTTCCTCCGCACTATAGTGTAAGCTAGTAACGGTATCTCTTACCCCGTTACACTGTCCATTGCAAAAAGACTGGAGTCTTCGATGTGGTACTGGTACGGCGTACGAGGCTGGGTAGGGACTTCGGGGGCTGGAGCTGACATGGATTGAGGCTGCCTGTGACTGGGGAGAGAGACTGCAAAATGAGTTATACTGTGTGGCAGTGGGGGCCGTGGCGGGCGTATTTTCAATTCGTATACTAAAACGAAGTGTAGTGGTTACGGAGTAGTGTTCAATTGGGCGGGAAAGCGGGCTTGTTTCCTGGTGAGTCTCGCGCCTAATCAATAAGTGCCAATAATGTGGTACACACATGTAACATCATTTGTTCAGATTTAATTTTATTTTCAGATTTAGAATTAATCTGTCAGATTTATAAAAAAGCCGGGCGTGTTCTATGGGAGAGCCGCTTATCATCTTGGTCGCATCAAATCGTCCCCGGAGCATCCCTGTTCAGAAATGTGACATGGGTTTGAAGCCCCCATTGTAAAACCTACAGTGCGTGTACCACCGCCAGCTTGTCATGGTCGGTATCGCGGCAGATCCGTAAAATCACACCGTCCACGAGGATGATCATGGTCGATCAAACAATACGTACCTTCCGCATACGTGGCTAATTGCATGGTAACACCCAACGGTTTGTGGGTAACAGCCCTTGCAGCTAGATATCGAGCTCGATCAGCGTGTAGCGTGTAGTAATACTCATAGGCAAACTGCAAATGTTTTTCTTGCAATAGGAACAGCGCACGCTCCACAATACAAACATTGCTTTGTGGGGCCTTCATGCCCTCAAAGACCCCAAGACGTTTTGCATCAGCTACGGTGAGCTCGCTTACCGGTTGGAGATCCATCGAGTTCTTTAGCAGCTTATCATCTTGGTCGCACCAAATCGTCCCCGGAGCATCGCCGTTCAGAAATGTGACATGGGTTTGAAGCCCCCATTGTAAAACCTACAGTGCGTGTACCACCGCCAGCTTGTCATGGTCGGTATCGCGGCAGATCCGTAAGTCCTGCCGTCTGGGCCGAAGGTGTATAATGATTAAATATAACATTTGTACGGTGATGGCTAAATATTTTTTGCATTTAGATTAAACCTAGCCATGAAATTATTCTAAGACATCTGCAAACTCTTCCGCACCGCGTCTTTCGCACTCTTCGATGAAGTAGACCTTTCAATACATCCAAGAAGCTCTCGTTGAGCCCCAACTGCGAGCTTGGTCTTGTCATAGGGTGACAACCTTTTCGGCCCATACCGACCATACTTTGAAAATTAGTACGGGAGTTTGTGGAATCACTTTATGAAATATTTTGAAATCGGTGTATTTCATTTTTCTTTCTTTTTTTGAAGCAGGCTATTGTCGAGATTCACGAATTCGCTCAGTGTACTAGAAAATCTGGGTACACTAGGGCTCTTCGATTAAGTGCGGATTACAAAAGGATCTTGTTCTTGTTCTCCCCCAATACAAAGCTGAAGCATCATGGCGGCCGGCGAGTGCCAGACGGGTAACACCAAGGACTACGACAACGAGGAGGACGACCTGTTGGCCGGACCGGAAACGGTTCTGGATGAGGGAGACATTGCCCTTCTCAAAACCTACGGGCTGGGTCCGTACTCGCGCGTTATCAAGCAAGTGGAAGAGGACATCAAAAAGGCTCAGAAGGCTGTGAACGACCTCATCGGTATTAAGGAGAGCGATACCGGACTGAGTCTGCCAAGCCAATGGGATCTCGTGAGCGACAAGCAGATGATGCAGGAGGAACAGCCGCTGCAGGTGGCGCGCTGTACCAAGATCATCAACGCTGGCGAAGAAGACGCCAAGTACATGATCAACGTCAAGCAGATCGCCAAGTTCGTCGTGGGATTGGGCGAGAAGGTCGCACCCACGGATATCGAAGAAGGTATGCGCGTAGGTGTAGACCGCACCAAGTACGCCATCCAGATCCCGCTGCCGCCTAAGATCGACCCCACCGTGTCGCTAATGACCGTCGAGGACAAGCCTGACGTGACGTACGATGACGTCGGTGGTGCTAAGGACGCTCTGGAGAAGCTACGAGAGGTTGTGGAACTCCCTCTGCTTCACCCTGAAAGGTTTGTCAACCTGGGTATCGACCCGCCTAAGGGCGTGCTGCTCTACGGACCGCCTGGAACGGGTAAGACGCTGTCGGCTCGTGCTGTAGCCAACCGTACCGACGCCTGCTTCATCCGCGTTATCGGTAGTGAACTGGTACAGAAGTACGTGGGTGAAGGTGCTCGTATGGTGCGTGAGCTCTTCACTATGGCCAGATCCAAGAAGGCTTGTATCGTGTTCTTTGATGAAGTGGACGCCATCGGTGGAGCACGTAGCAGCTCGGAGGAGGGAGGCACAGACAATGAAGTGCAGCGCACCATGTTGCAGATTGTTACAGAGCTGGACGGCTTCGACCCTCGTGGTAACATTAAGGTGCTGATGGCCACGAACCGACCCGACACACTGGACCCAGCACTCATGCGTCCCGGTCGATTGGACCGTAAGGTCGAGTTCAACTTGCCAGAGCTGGAAGGACGCACTCAGATCCTCAAGATCCACGCCAAGAGCATGAACTGCGACCGCGGTATCCGCTTCGAGCTTGTTAGTCGGCTGTGCCCCAACACGACTGGTGCCGAGCTGCGCAGTGTGTGCACGGAGGCTGGGATGTTCGCTATTCGTGCGCGCCGCAAATCCGTGAGTGAGAAGGACTTCCTCGAGTCGGTCAACAAGGTCATCAAGGGATACAAGAAGTTCTCGTCGACGCCCAAGTACATGGTCTACAACTAGACCAGACGCTCGGCCGTGCAGAGTCCAAGAGCAGCCGAGTGCAGGCGACAACTTTGCACGCGACAGAGAAGCTTAAATAAATACACACGCTACTGCAAATTTTGTTCATGTTGAAGTGATGAATTTATCGAGTACACAATGTGTACACGAGCTCACGACGTAGGTTCAGAATAAAATGGCGTCGTCTGTCGAGAAGCCCGCGCCGGCGAAGCTCAAGACGCGCTCCGAGTTCTCGGTGACGCTGGAGGTAGCGCCGTCCACTGCCGACGCCTGGTATCGATACGAGTACAAAGAAGCAGGTTCCACGTGGGAACAGAGCGCGCAGCACGTGGACGCGGCGATCGGAGCCTCTGAGGTGGTTCTGGACGATCTCAACCCGACCAGCACGTACGAAGTTCGTATCTACGCGGTCTCCAAGAATGGGGACGGTAAAGAGCAAGTGTCAGCGCCCAGTGAAGTCGCCGCAGTGGATACAGACGTGCCGGGCTGCGGACCAGACTCGAGCCAAGGTTGCTTGTGCACGATCCAATGAGCTGGGAACTAACACAGCAACATCCATAACACTATTGCAGCACAGCTGTTCATATTCACACAAGACTACCTTAGTCCACTTACACAGCAGGCAGTCCTTCTCTTCCTTGGTTTATCTCCCTATCTTGACCGTGTTATCTCATTGCAACAATGTCTTCCACTTCGCTAGTCTCTCGTCTTTGGGTTCGCCGTCTTCTGCTGGCGACATCTGCGTCCAAACTGCATCTACGTCCGTCTGCTTCCTCCACCAGGTCACAAGAGCTTCTCAGCCATCCTGCGCCTCCAATGCAGACAACAGAGCATCAAGAACATCAGCTGCGCGTCCACTTTCGACCAGATGAGAGCACGCCTCGCTCAGCCATTGCACCGACAGAGCTTCCTTCGCGAACAGCGGAGTCCACAGCTCACTCATGTTGACAGCAAGTCGAGGAATATCAACGCGCAAGTTGTCATAGTCATCCAAGATGATCTCAACAGCAGTCTCGATGTCTTCGGATGTGATTTTCTCGCTGGTAAAAAGCTGCAACAGCAATTCCGCCACGTCGCTGCGTACCGACTGCTTTTCCTCCAAGCTAAACGCCAACACGATATGCACAAAGTGTCGCCAGCGATCAGGAACAGCATCCAGCTCCTCAATACACAGCACCACCTCGCTGAAGTCCTTAACCGAGAGATATTCCTCCAGAGTGCTACGCATCTTTCCAGCAATATCTTCATCCAGCTCGTCTTCCTCGTCTCCAAAGAAGACTTCGATACCGTTTTCTCGCAGATACGCTTCCACCCCAGTCTCATTCCTCATCGCTGTAGGCATAACACTTTCCGGTGTGATCTCCTCATCCGTCAGCATCCGGATTACTGTCCTCTCGTCGCTCTCCATCTCCAGCACTGACAGCACCTCAGGGAACACCAAAGACGTGAGTTTACACTCCACACAATGAGCCAATGCTTCCGAGATGATCCACGTCAGCCCGAAGCAGCCAGCAGCGACTAAGCGACCAAAGATCAGCGCCGAGTATTGGTGGATCAACGGTAAATCGATCTTCATGTCTTCCAGGAACTCCATGACGTTCACCAACGCTGACTGGATGGAGTTCGCGTCCAGCACGCCGCGCTCATACAGCCCCACAAGCAACTCGACTGCATGCTCACGTTCATTCGTCTTGCCTTCCAACGCTGTGTTGATGACTTGTTCAGTAAACTCGACATGATACGGGTCCACGGGGAGCTCCTGGACACATGTGGAGGCTTCATCCAGGTCCGCAATCGAGAGGTATTCCTGTATGATGCTCTTGATGCGAGTTGACATCTGCGCGGGCGACAGTTCCTGCGCTTCTTCGTGTTCTGGTTCCTCCTTCTTGGCCACAATGAGGTTGCTGCTCTGTTTCGCGAGTTGAGCGCTCGAGATGCGTGTCTTATGACGACGTCGTTGTACGTCGTCATGCTGAGCATTTTTACCTTGCTGCTGAAGTTTTTGTGCCTCCTTGCGAACTTCTTCCAAGGTCTTCTGCTGCATCTCCTTGCGACGAGGTTCCCACATGTGATCTCGCGTTTCCAAGACATCCTTGAGCAAGAATCGCGCTCGAGACGGCAACTTCGTGTCGTCTGACAGCTCCACCATGCGCAAGATGACGATTTTCATGATGTTCTTCGTTTTCGGCTGGTCGAACTTCTTACCAGCCGTCGCCAGCATCTTGCACAGTGCTTCGAGGTCGTGTTCATCGGGGAAGCGTACAGCTTGAGCTTGAATTTCTTGCCCATCTTCTCCAGGGATCAACTCGAGTCCTAGCAAGTAGAAGATGCATCCTTGCACTCCGGATTGCTTGATCAGATCCACCTTGTACAGCTCGCCAATGAAGCGGATGTTCCCCAGCATCTTTGCCTTCGCACGCATAGCCAGGATTTCTCGACGTCTAGGGTCAATCTCCTCCTTGTTTTCTTCTTGAGAGCCAACGTGCTTGTTTGTCTTTTCGAATTCGCCTTGACAGCGATTAACGAGAAGTCGTGTGAACGTGGTTTGAGTCGCAGCCGCGTGCCGTGCAACGTCAGCTGACTCGAACGGTCCTCCAAATGGCTCGTCATCGCTGATCTCACTCAACTTCCGCTTCGAGTAATAGAAAGTTCCGGCTTCTTTCTCACCCACGGCCACTACGTAGTCGCCTTGACGACGGAGATTAACTGAGGGAATGAATTCACAGGCACACGTCGCAGTAGCGGCACTTTCAGCGGCGTCAAGATCCTTTAGACAGCTACATGGGCTGTCGAATGGACCGACAAACGACGTAAATGAGGCCTTGTCGATCCCTGTCCAGTAGAACGAGCCGTGTTCATCACTCAGCACACTCAGAAAGCTCCAAGTCTTCTTCGCAGTTCGCGAATGGAATTCCTTGCATAAATCAGCATACACATCCGCGAAGCTGGGCTCTTCCAGCGCTTTGTCCATAATAATTGAGACGATCGAGCTCAGCAGGACAAAACTGTCGATGTCAACAGCGCAGAGCTCGTTTGTCAGCTTCGCGAACTTCTCTCTCGTCAGCTTGTTCAGCATACTCTTGACATTGCTCAGCGTCTTCTCGACAGGAGAAATATCCTTTTCCTTCGTGGGCTTCCATCGGTTCTCCGACACAGTCAGAGGCTCAATAGGACCGTCATAAAGCGGTGGCGGGGGTGGTCGACTGTAGGCACCACGGCCACCACCTCCTCCACGACCTCCACGGCCTCCACGGCCTCCGCCACGACCTTGTCTGTCACGCCTACCGTCTCTCAAGCCACCTTGGCTTCTCGTTCCACGACCACTTGAGCACTCGCCCTTCCTAATGCTGCCTCCAATAGATCTCCCAATCCCATAGCCCGCTCCAAGACGTCCTGATGACTTTTTCACGACCGAAGATGGGTCGCGAAGTTGAGTTACTTCCACAATTTTCATGTCGATCAGGTCTGCCGGTCTAGGTACCGCACATGCCATAAGTCTCCTCAGCTCTGCGAGCGAATACTGCAACTTCTTAGCGCGCGTCACAGTCGGTTGAGATGGTGCAAGTGACGCTGTCAACGACGACTTCAGTGTCCGTGTCGGTCTCGTTTCCATCGATGCAGCCAAAGAAGACTTGAGAGTTCGAGGCGGTGCTGTATCAATTGACGCTGCAAGCGACGACTGGGGTTTAGGTGGGCCAGACTCGAGTGACGACGTCAAGGAAGACTTGAATGGAGCAGCGCGTCGTGCTGCTTCACGCTCTGTGTTCTCCTTGTCGAGTTTGGCGTAATACTTTCGGGTTCTTGCGTCCTTTTCAGCATTGCTGCCACTTGGAGCTTTGTCCTTTTCGAGTTCTTTTCTCGAGCTAAGTGGACTGTGCCGTGCCTCGTTCTCCATTGAGCCCTTACGCTCTAAAGGCGACTTCATCATTTGAGCCAGACTGCTACCGCGTTCAAGTTTCCGAGCCTCCATACGCTCTCGAAGAGTGTCAGCAAGACGTCTACGCTCTACTTCATCAGCAACAGGAGTTGCAGGCGCGTTAACAGACGTATCGTCCTTCTCTTGGGCTAGAGCGGACTTTTCTAGCTTCGGTGAGATCGACTCTCCTGCCGGAGCATTGTTCCTCAACCCAGCAGAGCCTGAAGGGGACTGTTGTGACTCTCGAGACCTGAAGCGACCGCCTGACGCACCAACAGGAGAACTTGAGTTCACTCTTCGAAGCGCTGCAGCTCCTCCGTCAAGAGACGATCGTCGGGAGGTTTCCTGAGATTGTTTACCGTACGAGCGGCCTATTGTACCAGACGCAGGACGCCCCTTTTTCACGCGGACATCTTGCGCACTCTTCGTCAGAGACCCTGCCAAAGACGATTTAAACTGCGTTGGCCCGCTTGAAAGCCTGCGAATAGGCTGCGGTCCATCGTTAAGACTCGATCGGTATTCCTCGCTGTATCGCTCACTGCGAAAACTCCTGTCGCTGCGGTCCGATCGCTGAGACGATACACTGTCCGAGCTGTTTTTCCTCGTCAACCTGGTTCTTGACACCGATCGATTGCCAGATCGATACGATCCCAGTCCTTCATTCGACCACTGCCTCGGCTCTCGACTACTAGAGCGACGCAGAGGCTCCCGACTATTAGAACGTCGCTGCGGCTCCCGACTGTTCGAGCGACGCAGTGACGAGCCCTGTCTTGCTCGGCCTCCTTGCTGGTCCTTCTCCTGTCTCGATCCTCGATCATCATCCCGTCCAATGGACTTCGTCAAGCTGCTGACGAATTTCTTGGTCTGTGCTGCTCCCTTCTGAGGCGACGGCGAAGATAGCGAGATAACCTGGCGCTGTCCTTTCGTCTGCACCTGCAAGTCCGTCTTTGAACTCTTACGCTCGGTCTTCTTGGCCGAGTCCTTCAGTGAGGATCGCAGAGAAGATTGGAAAGGGGCTGACGGAGCCGTGTCATTATGGTCGTCTACCACCTGCACCGAGCGGTGGCTGCCTGAACTCGTCTTGGGGTCAGAATCCCCCGTCGACTCACTTACTGGAGCCTGTACGCGACGATAGGTGCCTCGTCCGCCGCTACCTTTGCGTCTCAAGCCACCGCTTCGACCTCCACCTGCAGTGTCAAGGATTTTATGCACCAATTAGGCGATCAATCAGTGGGATGAACAAGCTGTGACGTCACTCCCAAACAAGAATATGGATCCATGTCTTGTATTGCTAGTGCTGGGCTGTAGACTGCTGGATTTGAAGAGTACGGTACCTCTGCGGTGGTCTGCACTCGACTGTCCATCCATGAAACAATCACTCTGTCTGCTCAGTCCTCGTTAGTTGCCCTGGCGCTTGTCTTGATCTCGTTGTGACTCAATGCCGCACAGCGTTCTCCCCTTCAAATCATGTTGTTTTAGATCACACCAATGCCGTGGTCCACACTAAATTACCTAATCAAAAACGGGTATACAATGTGACAAGTTCAATATTTCAGTATTCCATACCACAGTATTACCACTTCGACCAGTCATCGATGGACTTCACTCATTGCATCGACAAGTGCAGTGCATGCTTGGCCGTCTGACGCTGCTCTCTCTGTCCCCACGCTCCCACTCTCTCAGAAGACTAAACAGAGCCATGCCTTCGTCATCTGCTGCGTCGCTGGCACAGACGCTACAGAATAAGGCGGCACCGCCCGGCCATAAGATCATTCGCGAGGGTAATGGAGTTATGATCTTCTCAGAGCAAAACCAGGTCTTCTACAACCCCGTGCAGGTACTCAACCGTGACCTCAGTATCACCATGATCTCCGAGTTTGCGCGTACCCGCGCACGTGAGCAACTAACTAGGGAAGCACGTAAAGCAGCAAATGCAGCAGGTGAAAGCGCTTCGTTTGTACCCAAGGAGTACACGGATGAGGAGATCGAGAAGCACCTGGCCGATACTGCCGAAGACAAGGGCATCCGCATATTTGAGGCGCTCTCAGCTTCAGGTCTGCGCTCTATCCGCTACTTTCAGCAGATTCCAGGTGTCAAATCCATCCTTGTGAACGACATGGACCCTGCAGCTGTAGAGAACATCAAGCGCAACGTTGTGTTCAATGAGCTGCCACTGGATCGCGTCATCCCCAATGAGGCAGACGCTACTGACGTCATGTACAACCACAGGAAACCTGCGGACCAATTCGATGTCATTGACTTAGACCCATACGGATCCGCCTCGATCTTCTTGGACAGCGCCGTACAGAGCGTCAGCAACGGTGGTCTGCTCTGTGTGACGTGCACGGACATGCCCGTGCTATCAGGCAAGCAGCCCGAAGTCTGCTTTTCGCGTTATGGAGCGCTACCCAACAAGTCGCACTACCTGCACGAGATGGCACTTCGTATGGTACTGCAGACGATCGAGTCGTCGGCCAACCGCTACGCGCGCCACATTGTGCCTGTCGCGTCGTGCAGCATCGACTTCTACGTGCGTGTGTTCGTCCGTGTGTATAAGTCGCCGGTAAATGTCAAGAAGGCGATGACCAAGCTCTCGCACGTTTACCAGTGCGTCCAATGCGAGAGCTTCCACCTACAGCCACTTGGTGTGTCTAACGGAAACAGCTACCACGCCTCTCGCGGCCCGATCGTCGGTCAGGAGTGCGACCAGTGCAAGGGTAAGTACAAGATGGCGGGACCGATCTGGTCGGCTCCTCTTCACAGCCGCGACGTCGTGCTGAAGATCCGCGACCGTGTTGAAATGAGCACGTCCGAGTTCCCTACAAAGCCTCGTCTACATGGACTCCTGACTACAATCTCCGAGGAACTCGTGGACGCCCCGCTGCACTACACTCTTCCGGGCCTGTGCAAGGTCCTGCACTGCTCCAACCCGCGTATGTCACAGATCCAGGGCGCCATTCGCCGTGCTGGTTACGAAGTCTCGCAGTTCCACAAGGTGCCGGATGCTGTCAAGACCACTGCACCCAACGACGTTATCTGGGATATTATGCGCTGCTGGGTGAAGAAACATCCATTGAACAAGAAGCGCGACGGCGAGGAGACCCCAGGTAGTCGCATTCTAGCTAAGGAGCCTAAGTTCGAGGCCAACTTCTCCTCCAAGCGCCCGGGTCCGAATGACAAACCGAAGGCGCTGCGTTTCCCTTTGAACCCAGAGCCGAACTGGGGTCCAAAGGCACGTGCTGTCGGCAACCGCGTCGACAACGCCCCTGCTGCGAAAAGCGAGGGTGAGTAAAGCTGTCTTGATATCGTTGGTTAACGAGGTTATCTAAGCTTGCTCGTGTATATTCCTATCTTCTGTATTAGACAAGGTAGAAGAACCAGACGCGAAGAAAGCCAAGACAGAGTAAGTGAAGCGAACGCAAAAACTAGACAAGAAAGCTTCTCTCCTTATTTTTCCAGCGTAATAGAGTGCTTGAAGGCTACGCATGCGTGTGCGGTGGCACGATGATCTTGCAGGAATTACTGAGATGCGTCTCCGTGCCAAACTTTGACCTTGAGTTCATGGTACGTGAGTGGGTACTCCTCTTCAACGTTGTCTTTCTTGCGTAGTTCTTCCACGGACAAATGAGGTGGCCGCAGTCCAGTATAACGATAAGGCTGCTGCTTCGCCAGCATTGCGTTGATGGTCTTCGCACTAGGCGATTTGTTGGCGTCAGCAGCTGCGGGCAGGAGTGCTGGCTGTGCTTGTTGAGGTGCTTTGGTTGCACTGCTAGCGGAGGACGAAATCGCTGCAGCTGATTTGGTACGGGCTTCAACAATGGATTCTGCCGTTGCCTTGGGTATCATACTGCTGCGGCGAGTGCGTGCTCCTCCCACCACAGAAGCCTTGCGTTTAGCAGGAGGTGCCTGCGATGACAAGCTGGCCGTCGCGATAGGTTGGTTCAAAGCCTCCTCCTTTCTGATGGCTTCAACCTTGGCATGATACGCTTGTAGCACTGTGACAATCTGCTCTTCAATGTCACTAAGCACCTGCTTCATGTCGTCAGCTAAATAGCAGCAACAGCGTGTAAGCTAGACATCTGCAGTGGCCATCAAAGGAAAACTCACTATGAACGTCGGAACAGCCGATGCGTGAGTGGAATAGCAGCACTGCTGGCTTAAGCGCTTCCAAGAACGTATGCATTTCGCGGTTTGCGTTCTCTTTGATCTTCTCCTGCTCGTTCGTGTGCTGAATTTTTGACCGAAGTCCTTCAATGCGATTCATGCGCTGAAAATCTGCCGAATCCTTGCGTTGTTTCAGCCTGAACGATGGTTGTTAGTCGAACAATTACTGCCAGCTTAAGAGATTTTTCGGACGTACCTGCCAATTTCCTCACGCAGTTTGGTGCTTACTAGGCGATGATTCTCAATCTCCTCGGCCAGTTGATTCACGTGTTGAATGCGATCAAAGTGTTCTGCTTCCGTGTAGAGCCATCAGGCAACAAACACCCCGAGACGGTTAAGGAATACACTCAAAACATGCAGAATTCATGCAGATAGAGTAACGACAAATTAGCTGTGAAGGATATTGGTTGTTGAAAACGTCGATCATCTCCGATACGGTCTTTATGCCCGAGACCTCGTGGATCTTTTCGATGTACGTGCGGTTCTCTTGGTACTTTGTCAGCATTACATCTGTAGTGACCTTGGCCTGGCCGCTTTTCCATTTGCTACGCTTGGCACGTGACTGTATTTCGCTTTCTTTTGCCTCTGATACAGTCTTCATGATATCATTCTCGCCCAAAAACTTGTACTTGTCCTCGTCAACCAGCCCCTCTGCATCTTTTTGATGCAACGCAATCTCCTTAAGCTCTTGCAGGAGAACGGCTGCACGACGGTCACACTTCATCTCCCACTCTTCTTCTTCTTGGCGTACGTCTTCAATCTCCTGTTCAACAGCCTCGATCTCCTGTCGAAGCTTCTCCACTTCTTCGTTGACTCGAGCCACCTTGTGACGCTTCGACAATGTCTCCGTCGAGATCTTGGTGAAGCTATCGTCCATACGGGCACGCTCAGCTCGATGTGCATCGATGACCTCCCGCAGCTGTCGATTGCGATTGAGCTTTTCATTCATCTTAACAAGCCGGCGGTCGATATCGTGCTCCATCTTGCGAACACGTCCGAGCATGATGGCATGGTTGTGATCCAGAGCAGCCAGCTCATACAACTTCATTTTTTGATGCGCTAGGGTGGTCTCTTGCGATTGGATGAGCGCGTTCAGACGTGCCACTTCCTTCCGCTCCAGCTCCAAGCGGATCATAAAGTTATTGCCCTGTAGATACAAATTGGACAGCTTCTCGGCTGTCTGCTCATTGAAGAAAGGATCGTCACGCGCCACGTGATCGTCGAATGCCAGCTGAATCGACACACAATCAAACGATCTCAGGATGGGCGGACAGCGTAGCGAGTGGGATGTTTATGATCTCAACACATGAAACGCACCTCTTCCTCTAGTCGGCGATTCTTTTCCTGTAAATCTTCGATCTTCTTTGCGTACTCGTTCAGACATAGCGTCAGATTCTTGGAGTGGCGATTGCCGTCATCGTGCTCAAGCGCAAGGAGCTGCTGGTCGATTTGACTGCTCTGGAGCTTCTTCTTGCTGAATCGACTTGGGGATCCAGGAGAAGAAGAATCACCAAGACCCGAGCCTTTGGTAGGACTCAATGCCACTTTCTTTACGGATCGAGGGGCTGGCGACGTAGGCATGTTTTGGTTGTTTCGGATTTTTTAATTTCATAGGTCGTCTTTTTTTATCTTGAAGAAGTACCTAAGTATGCCTTTTTATTTCTAAATTCTCGGCTTGAAGACGCTTCTTTGTTGGATTTTCCCGTAGTCATTGTATAATAGCGTTTGACGCAATGGTTCTAGTAGAGAATCGCTCTCTGCTGACGAAGTATCCTGGTAGAGCCGCTTGCTCAGTCGATAATCGACGAAGAAATGCATTGTGTAGGGGAGTGATGTAGGCTAATTGCCTGATGGCCTGGTGTACTACGTGGGAAATATCCTCGACCTTGGGATCTACGGGAAGGGCTGAAGGTACAACCTGCTATCCGTGTTTGACGTATTATGGCTCTGATAGTAGATCAGCCAGATGCGTTTCAGATACGAGCACAAAACTTAAAGTATTTATTAAGACGATACCCTACTTTGAAATTCGTCGTCTTTCTAAGTCTGGCCGTCAAAATGACGGTATCCTGCGAGCTGTACGCGATCTGTGCTCTTACTTTTACCGCGTTAAAAAGAGCACGTCCGAGTTTCTCGTTACAAACAGGTACGGCACTATTGCCCAAGATTGACTACTCCATCTCAAGACTTAAGCGTCTTAAGATCTGACGTGGGCAAACTTCAGCTTCACCACCATAAAAGGGTCTAATTGTATTTTGAGACGACGACACGTCATGTAGCCATGTGTAGACGAATACTTACAGTGGCTGGAAGTGTGCGGTGCCACAGCGTCGAGTCATCATTCAGATTGCGACGATGGAATGTACAGGGAGTACAGTTCAGCTACGGTTAAGTCTTACTTGGAATAAGACTAATTGAATTAAGCCTCAACCGTAGCCGAGCTTTGTGTACTTCACAGCATGAACAGTAATTGCTGCAGCACGCCATTTTGACCAACCAACAGCACAGCCTTCTCATTGGCTAAAACCATACATCTACCTTATGGCTTGCAAAACCAAACAAAGCAAGAACTTTCTCAAATAATGTCCTATAAACTATTACAGCTGAGAATAAGCCACAACGTATGCAAACCTACAATTAGGTATCAATTAGTTATAGGAGAGTATTTGTTTCATTGAGTTCGTCTGCACTGTACCTCTTGTCTGTAACCTAACCGCTTCCAACAATAACCAAAAAGCGCGCGCCTTCTTCACGCCAGAACGAAACTAGCGGCGACAGTCATCGGTCTCCCTCTCAGTGTAGGCTCATCCTGGCTTTCAGCACCCCCCGATCCAAGCATCAGCACCCCCTAGTTTTCGACAACCGTTGATCCCAGCGACACTGGCTCCGCTCGTTTTCATCGCTGCCCATCCGCGTTCAAGTCCCGAACTGGAGCAATCAATACAAGACAATAGTACCGTGACCGTTAGTAATAGTAGCCCCTCACCTGCCATGGTAGAGCCGACCAGCCCAGGCAGCCCCAGCAGCGAAGGAGACGGTCCCAGCGCCACAGGCAACCGGAATCGTAGTGTGAGCATGAACATGCACTCAAATGCACCACCCAGCAAGAAACAGCGAGCTTCAGACGACGAATACGAGCAAGCAACGCCTCCTCCAGCCCCTGCACCAGGCTCGACATCTCCATACTCAGCCGCAGACACAGTGGACGCAGCTTCAGCAATAACCGAAGCGCGAGACCAAGTGAGTGACGAGACAGACGCTCCGGACGTCGAAGAGGACCAAGCTGACGACTCCGGTGCTGCTGTGCCTACTACACCTGTGCCGCCATACGGAGACGATGGAGATTCGTCCTCTGACGAAAGTGACGTCAATGAAGAGGCCTTTATGAATTGGCTCGTGGACCAGAAGACCGCTGGAATGCCTGCCGGACAAATGCTGGATGCGCTGGGCTTGGGCGTGTCGGACGGAGTGGCGGTGGATGACGACGAATTGTGGGAAGCCATGTTCTCTATGGGCATCCGACTCATCAAACCGGCAGCTACGGTACGCTCTTTAGAAACTGACACAAGTGGGCGTATGCTGATATGGTATATGGTGTATTTTTGACTACAGCGACCCCGAGAGAAGTTGGATAGTGTCAATACACTTCAAGATGTGGCGTCGCTACTGCGTTCGAGCAAAAAGATTGTGGTACTGGCGGGTGCAGGGATTTCAGTGTCGTGCGGCATTCCGGACTTTCGCTCTGAAAATGGCATCTACAGCGTACGCGATGGTTTCGTTCTTACTCCTTTCCTGGAAGGTCATTGACATCGTATCCATGTGGCTGTGAATCATCTTACAGCGCCTTGGCGAGTACAACCTCCCCAACCCGCAGTGCATGTTCGGTACGACTCCCCTCGTTGGTAACAAGCGATGATATCGTTAAACTAATGTGTTTATTTGTGGCAGACATCGAGTTCTTCCGGTCCAACCCAAAGCCGTTTTTCGCCTTTGCAAAAGAATTGTTCCCTAAATCCAGTGGGTTCACTTTTGTGCCGTCTCCAAGTCACTACTTCTTAAAGCTGCTAGAGGAGAAAGGAAAGCTCCTTCGAATTTACAGCCAGGTACGCTATTACTATGATCGACTGCCTTGAAGCCAAGTCTAACTTTATGTTTTGTTCAGAATATTGACATGCTGGAGCACGCAGCGGGTATCTCTCACGAGCACGCTGTGCTTTGCCACGGGTCCTTCGCGACTGCGACATGCGTAGCATGCAAACGGACGTACCCGAACGACGCTATCCGCGAAGACGTGTTGAACCAGCGAGTGCCCATGTGCCAGTCGTGTAACTCTCCGGATGGAATCATCAAGCCCGATATCGTCTTCTTCGGGGAATCACTGCCGCGACGATTTCACGACTCGGTCAAGAGTGACGAAGGTGAAGCAGACCTGGTGCTCGTCATGGGGTCGTCTCTCAAGGTAAACCCTGTGCGCAGCATTGTAGGTCGCTTCAAGAATGACACGCCCATGATCCTAATCAACAGAGAACCAGTGGGTCGGCCGCACAAGTTTGACGTGGAGCTGCTAGGATATTCAGACGAGATAGTGCAGGAGCTGTGTCGACTGCTCGGGTGGGAGATCCCGCAGCCTGATCCTGTTCTTCTGGGCCAATCCAACCTCCCGCCACCTTCTGTTGTACCTACGAGCACCCTCGCGCCTCTGTCGTTCGAGTTTGTGCCGCCGTCAAGGCATTTATTCAACGGTTCCAAGTCGACATATTGCAGTTCCAGCGACGACGAAAGCAGCAGTTCTTCCAGCGAAGAAGGAGCGGCGGAGGAGGAAGGAGCTATAGATGCTGATGCCGTAGCAGTAGCGATGGATGCAGACGACGACAAGAAAGCGCCTTCGATCGACGAGTATTCAAAGGACGACCAAGACGAACTGATGGGAAGTGGCAACGAGTTGCTAGGGGCCTCAAGCTTCGACGACAATTGATCTTTGAGACTCAACAGAACTCGAGCCCAGTCGCTCTGTATCCGGCGCTTTCATCGAGCTGAGCCAGCCAGACATGCATCTCATGTACAAGTAATCCCAAGACTGGCGATTACTTTTTGTACCCACCCACTCTCATTTCTGAGCTGGGTGGGGTGATATCTGTTGATACGCCATTCTCCGAGCAACTACAAACTATGAGCTCAACCGGGTCGCACTCGAAGCAACGAACCGTGGGACGAGTAATGCTTCGAGCCTCTTTGTCAGTAGAAACGTTGCGTCTTGCATCATTGCATCTATCCGAACCCACAGTGTTCTGTACCGACGATTCCTTTCTGCTGTTGCTTGCTGCGAGCTAGGTCAAGTGCTTTAAGTCTGGGCTTGGACGAGGACAGGGCGAACCATTCGCCCGTGTGGAGATCGAAACATGGCAAGTGCGTAATGACGCTGTTTGCCGAACTCTCGCCCCTGGCTTGCTAGAAAGAGTTGCTGAAGTGGCTCACAAGCGATGAAGCCAACGGCGCGGAAAGCGCTCTTGGGCCGGTCGTAGATAGCTGAAGTCACGTAGCCGATGAGAGATCGCTGACAATGCACAACAGTTAGTCCAGTGTTGCTTTGCTAAGTGTGATCGTTTCAGTTAGGCCCCACCTCGTCACTGTCGGTCTTGGTCTTCTTCTTCTTGTTCAGAACAATATCAAAGCCTTTCCAGTTCTTGTCCTTGAAGAATTGTTCGATATCCTCGGCTGAAGGTGCGAGGAGCTGATCATAGTAAAAACATCAAGACATTAGAGCCTACTTAGTACACAACGCTGTCCGAGCACATACCATGGCGTTGATATCGATGTTGCCTCGTCTCGGGACAACGACAACAACGCGAAAAAGTGTCGGCATTGGCACAGATACAATGGACTCAGCAGTGGATGCCATGTCTTCGTCAGTGTTGTTAGACTTGTAGAAGCAGAAGGGCTTCATGTACTTCTCCCCACGCAGTACACAAGGTGTTGTATCTTCATCTGTTGTGGACTCAAAGAGCAGCTCCCATCGCGGATGAAATGGTGACGTTACATCGTGTTTTGCGAAGTTAAAGCGCTTCGCTTTGGGCTTCTTCGCTTGCTCCGATTCCAAGCCACGCGCACGAGCCTCCCAATACGCCTGCCCAGCTTGAGTATCCGGATAATCGCACGGAAAGCTGTAGACAGCTCAAAGTCAGATACTTACACGACTATACACACAGTAATTCCTCGCTTCGTACCTTGGTTGGTGCAGCACTGTAGACAGAGCAGAGTCTTCCTCCAGCCCAACAACCAGAGCTCCACCGAAGACCAACGCCTTCAGCAGTCCAGGGGCGTTAGATGGAGGACAGATCAGGTCCCAACCGCTCGTATGAGGATACTGCCCGCTCTTTTTGATAGCCAGAAGGTGGAGCGGAGGAGATTTCACATCAATATCCTCGCTCAACACGTCATTCTTCCGTTGACGGTATACCTCTTGGTTCAACTGGTGGTCCTTGATAAAGTTGCTCTTAAGTTTACGTCTCTTGGACAACGACCACAGCAACGAGCTGGGAGATGCATCCACGTCCATAGCATCGTCTTGCGTCTCAACTTCCGATCGGATTTCATCTGCGATGACGAGGGGGTAGCCAGCACTGCCAGTTTCCTTTGACACAGCTTCATCGGGGCCTCTAGTCGTCCAAGCTAGCAATGTCTGCATTTCTTTCATGATCATTTTAGTCTCGGGTTCTTCAGCATCTTTACCCAGCGACGAGAGGCTCAGTCCAGACAAAGGACTCTCAATTACGCCCATACCAACGTCAGCAATAGCACCGACGGGTGGTTCTTTCAGAAGTGAAAATCTCGATCTCGAACGAGCAGATGGATACCTCAATTTACCTTCTCGATAACGCGCAAGACGTGGGTCTTTCAGTGCAACAGAGTAAATCGAGTCCTTCCCCTCATCAGTCTGCTTTTTTTTGCCTGTCTTGCGGAGAGTTTGCAGCAAGTTGCGTCGGTTGCTACTGCTGCAAATGGCTACAGTCTCCTTCTGATTGTAGCCATCTTCATGATCTGAAACTTGATCGTCCTGATCTTCCTCATCAACCTCCACCTTCCCGTCACCAAGACTTGCCACAAGTTCATCTGCAAGTCGTCCACGCAGTTTCAAGCGACACAATTGTCCCCGTCGATCGTGCATTTCGATGCCCTCTTCATCTTCCGCCACGACCTCCTGACATGCGGCTGCAATAGCTGTCGCTGCCTCCATATACGCTGCAGGGTGTACCCATAGCCACAGTTGCCTCTTGGTGCTCTGCCAATCCTCGTGCAGTTTGAACTCCCCACCCTCGTAATCCTTCTTCAATGGCCTCCACATGAACGTCACGGGGGCGATGGCACCCTGTGGGAATCGCCCTTCACGGTACAACATACTGGCGCCTTCCTCTGTTCCTGCCAAGAACCTGAGGCCGTGGAAGTCCGACCCATTGGGGTCTGAGACCAATTGCAGAGCCTCCAAGATCACTTGAGGCAGACCGAAGAGCTCAATAACCCCGTAATAGCTGGAGTCATGCAATGTAGCCATTTTCCTCATCGCTTGCAATGCAGCGGACACACTTTTGTCTGCTCGATGAAGCGCTAAAATGTAGCCATGTTGTTCACTCATGGTCATGCGTTTGGCGTGCCAAAAATGGGTTGACAGCCACCGTGGTTGCTCCGATTCAACATCTGAGCGGGCTTGCAGCAATTTGTGCGGTCTACGCTCATGCTTGCGGCAACGCAATGCATTCTGGTTGGGCTTGGGCGTGGCTCGCAACCTCTGCGGCATCCTGTGCGACTTGAAGGCGTTGGCTCTGCGTCTCCGCTGGTTTTTCTGCACTTGCAGCTTGGCGTCTGTGCATGATGACACCACGTCATGCTGCGACAGCTCCTGGAGAGCCTGCAGCTCCGGCGCACGCGCGTTCGCGAACTCGAGCACCTGCAACACCCTGGGACCAAGACCAGCCATTTTTGATGATCGAAAAGACAACGTTCAATAATTGCATTTTAATAAGACAAAAAATTAAAGATACAATAACTGTTTCAAAGAAATACTATTGAAAGTTTTTGAGAACAGGCATTTAAAATGAGGCCTTATTTTGGACAATAATTAGCTTCGCTTTATTTGTAAGTACGACTGTGGGGATGTAGCCACTTTCAAGTTGAAGGAGACAAATTCTTGGTGCCCATCGAGACAAGAACAAAGAACTAAGCTGTAGTAGCTGGACATGCGGACTTCGCTGCAGCGAGCTGACGTTAAAGTTACCTACTGGGAAGCACAGGCGAACTGGTGGAAGCGCTGGGCCCATGATCACGGATTGAGTCTGGACGCTGCCAATTGTGCGAGTATTCACTTGTCGTTCATGCAAAAACTGGCCACGCAAGCAGCTCACGAGCAGCGACACGAAAAAAGAGAATCGAAGACAATCGCAGTGCTTCCACCGGAAGCCAAGAAGTTGAGCCAAAACGAGTGATTTTGTTGCACTTTACGGTGGCGTATCCTGATCTACCGCGTTGTCTTCTCGATCACCAGTCCGGGAGCACGTTAATACCTTTCTAATAATCTCCAAGCTGTCCTCCTCGATTCCAAGGACTTCAAGCACTAACTGCAATAGTGCGTCTCCCTTTGTTGAGTTTTTAACTGCCAGCACCAACGGCAGAGGACTGAGACCATCATGAACAGATAACACATCAAAAATTGTCACGTCTCCACAATACGATAGCTTAGCAGAAGTGACCTGGACAAGTGAGAACCCTGTTACGCCTCGACAGCGAACACCAACGCGTTGTCGCTTGACTTGCGCGGCTGCACCTTCAACTGTCAACATATCCTGGAGCACTCGATGTACTACTTTCTCATCTGCTAAAACGTCTCTCGATGCTGTAATTACTCGGACTTCGCGACCAGAATTCCATCCCAGAGACGCACAAACCGCTGCTTGGATAAACATCGAGCGGGTCTCACATACCTCCGGTTCGTGACCGAAGAGGGAACTAACATCAATATCTCCTGCCTCCGTTGAAGCCTTACTACTGTTCTGGCTCGGGTGAGGAAGAACTGGTCGAACGGTGCCCACCACAAGTTTACAGAGCGGACGATGCAGCACCGAGGCCAGACCGAACTTCACCTGCATGGCTGCTTCTCCTTCATCTTCGTCGCTAAGTGCTCCGTCGCGTATCAGCCGTTCAACTAGTTTTGCTAGCTGTGGTTCGTGCAGGACACAGTGGAAATGCTGTTGAGTATCAGGGTCATCCATCGTGATGTCCAGCAACAATTCGCCATCCCAGAGCTCCTGCAACCGAATGTAGTAGAACACATCACCGACATTCACAACACTCTGGTACGTAAGTGTGCTGGGAGCGGATATACCGGGAGCCACAGCACACTCCTCTTCTTGCGCAGTATCCTGGATCTCCACGGATAGTCTTTGTCGACTCAGCGGTTCACTCATTGAAGGACGCTGTTCATCATCAACTCGGATCACCTCCAGCGTCACTACTCCACCAGCATCCGAAACCACTTGCAGGTTGCTGAACAGAGGCTCAAGTAACTCCTCGTGGACAGCAAAGAGCTCCGGATCCTCCTGGTTGCTATCGTGGCGTTCACTGGGTCGATAACTGGCGAATGTCGAGCAAAAGGTTAAAAGCTGACGCAGATCCACCTTAGCACTCAAAGCCTCGTTGTCACGTCCTTCGTAGCCCAACAACACAGCACGAACTTCCAACCACCAAATCTGTGGCGTCGCTGCGGCAAATGCTTCAGTCACAGTCAATTCCGAGAGAGCAACATCGTTGAACTCATCGCCCGCGACGGAGATATACCGCGTGCCTCTGTAGACTGTCACGTGCTGTGTATTCTGTTGCTCTTGTAGAGCTGTGACCTGTTCTCCTGGGAACTGTATAGCTGCTTCAGAGCCACAAGTCTCGGCTAGAACCAAGTGACCATTCTTGAAACCAGCGTGAACATGGCTCACTAGCAGCTCCGCAAGAGCTTTCAGTCGTTCACGACGTCGTACTGAGTGTCGATCTAAGTAGCTCTCGTGAGTTGGTACAAGTCGCTGGATATCTCGCAGATAAAACGTCAGATAGTCGTCCTGCGCGGAACGAGATTCGTACGCCACGAAATGGATACTGAAGCCATCTTCCGAGTCCTCAGGCTGCTCCGATTCCTCGTAAAGCACCTGTACCAGCAGCAATTGGTCACCAATCGTCCTTGATCCCTTCGTGAGCTGTGTACTTCGCTTCAAAATACCCGGGACCCCTCCACTGGCACCTAAGGAGTGATACTTGATGGCATGGCTACTTAATACTTGCTCCAACTGCTCACTTATAGCGTCACGTTCTCGACTCACTCGCTCCGCTTCAAGTTGAGCCACTCGCATGTCCTGTTCAGCTCGCATTGTACGGTGCATCAATGTATCCATCTTCTGTTTAAGAGCCTCACGTCCGAGCGAACGCACCGCCAATTTCATTCGACTTTCAGCCTGTCCACGCCGTAAAACGTGTTCGTTCTGTAAGCGTGTTTGCTCCATAATCTCCTGCGAGCGTTGCTGTTCACGTTCCAGACTCACACGAGTCTCCACAAGTCCTTCCGACACACGCGTACAGTCTGTTAATGATTCGCGAAGTTGTCGTGCTAGTTCCAAGTTAGTACTGCGCTCCAACGCCACTTGTGCCTCCAATATCGCTGTACGCTCTGCGGTTTGTGCACTGTGTAGACGAAGCTGTTCTTGCAACGTTAGAACTGCATTCTTGGTCTGCAACAAAGCACGTTCAAGTGCAAAACTGCGCTCTCGATACGATTTCTCCTCGGAGTTCGCTGGCTCTCCAGGTTTAAGTGCGGAAGTCTTCGTCTGTATAGCTGTTGAGTCCGTTAATTCTGTAGCCACAAGCTCCAGCTTTTTACTAGCGATTTCAGCTTGCTGTTGAGCTTCATTCCGCTCACTTTTCAAGGCTTCTAGAGCTTGTTCTAGCTGCGCAATGCGTTCTTTCAGCGCTCGTTGTTCGCTGTACCGACGGTTCATTTTCTCGTGATACGCTGCTGCGTCTACTTGGCGGTTCGCAGCGTGTGATCGAGCTGCGTATTCCTGCCAAAGCTGCTGCATTATTACTGGATCAGGACCGGAAACCGCCCTCTCTTCTGTACGAGTCTTGGGGCTTTCATCAGTCGCACGTGACGTCGGTCGCGAGCTGTTGCGAGGAGATCCAGACAATGCACGACTACGAAAACTGCCAAAGTTTGTTCGGATATCTGTACGTGAAGGCCGTCGAGGTGCTGCGTTCGGTGGTCTTGGTGAGACCACGGTTGGTTTCGTCATGGCTTCATTCTCCTGTCGATCGTCCGATGTAGCCATTTCAACAACACTGACGTCGGGGCCTTGAGATCCTCGAACGTGGTCATGTCCTGGAAGTAGGGGGAACACGACACCTTGTCCTTTTGGATCGATGTCTGTGTCATCAGCTTGAGTCGAAGCTACTCGATGTCGTGGTGTTCTACCGTTCGAGTGCCAACCTTTACCCTTCTGAAATGGCTGGATGTTGCGATATCCTGTAGGTAGTAATGGATTCAGCGGAGACACCAAGATGGATTCATTATCCCCAGAGCGAGAAGGTACAGGACGAGACGGAGGTGTGCTCATGAGTTCTCAAGGTCGTTTGAACGAAGCGACTGCGCTTTTCGAGGCGACTCTTTAGACGGAGATCGTCCCCAATTAGTCGGTGAACTTCCGGACAGGAATGAAGCGAGGAACGGGTCGAGATTCCAGTGGAGACGCCGCTCTGCGCGAACTCGAGCGCGCGTTGGACGCGTTCATGGCTACACATGTCACCACTGCAGCCAACTTCTTAGCCACCAAGAGCGGAGACGAATGTAGCCATTTGTTCGAAGACGAAGTTACTATCGATCAAGACCCAATTTCATCCGGAATGACCCATTTCCAGCTAGATTTAAGACGTGTACAATGTATAAGCTCTGTGATGGCTACTCGTCGAGGACCTGCGCGTGTTGTGAGCATGGGAAGGCTTTTACTATCATGGCTACAAACTGTCGAGAGCTCCAGTGCTGCTGCAGCAGCGTCAACTGCCACAGCGTTACCTCCATCGGCAGCAGAAACAGCTCGAGCAGCAGAACACGCCCAACAGCAGTCGCCAATTGACCCCGTGGCTTCGTGGCTGGTGGCAACGCTACTCAAAATCTCCTTTCTAGCTCCTCAAATGGGTACAAACGCTGACTTCAACTCTACGGAACGTGCTGCAGTGGACGAATTGATCAATATCGTTGTGAGTCGCTGTTTATTATCCTTCCAACGATCATGGCAAGCAGACGAAGAGACTCATCGTCGATTAAGAGCGGAAAGCTCTGGGAATTTGTTCTCCTATTTAACGATGCGGAAGGCTAAACCCAAGACGCCAAGCGCGCCTGGAGCTCCCAGTGCTGTAGCCATCTGCTTAACTTGCATTACGGAAGCTGGCCTCATTTGGGGCCACGTTTTGGGTCTTGCAGCGTGTTTAGCACCCGATGTGGCTCGTATCAAGCTCCAGAATGAGATCTTCACGCGAAGTACGCTTTGGAACGCCACAAAACCATGGGGAGACATCACGCAGCACCCATTTCTGAAATACTTGACCCATATTCGCCTCGGTTTGGCTCCAACCAAGACTAATCCCAGTCTCACGTTAACATCTAGGATGTCGGACGCTGCGAGATGGCTACGTCTAGTGATGCCATTGCTGCTAAAACCTCATCGCTCTCACGTGCGTAGTGCCTGTGCGCATCTGATCTCCCAGATGCTCCTAAGAGAGCTCTTTTCTCTCAATCGACTGGAACTCAGCGTGGTTTACACGTCAACGGGCAGCGATTGGAGTCGCTGTATCAGCGATCTCCATGCCGCAGCTCTTCGACTAACCGACAGCGCTAAAAAGAAGAGTCGAGGGCGGTCTCAACAGCATTTTGAGGCTTCCGCTTGGGCGCTACGGACTGTCGTGTTAGCTCTCGCTCCAGGGGAGATTTTCACGCGATATTGGCGAGAAGATGCGCTCGCGTTGTTGAGACTGCAGTATCATTTGAACCAAGACGCTAGTGCTAACGGAGCGACGTCATACAACGTACTGCCCAGTCTGGAATTGAGCTTCACGTACATGATGCATCGCCATTTCTTACTACGAGACTCGGGCGCGATCACGGCTGGAGCGCCATCAGATGCTGACTGCATGGAGATCATCAACACGACGCAAGCGTGGGGATTCTTCTCGTTGCCACGTTTAAAACCGCAGCATTCGAGTGGCACTGGCAGCAGTAGCTTCACTGCACTCAAGACGATCGCGTTGCCTGCTTTAGTGCATGTATCACGAGCCATGGCCGCGTACAACATGACGTACACTGTGCAGAGCCATTTACGACGTTTACTAGCGGAATCTGTAGGCGTCGGAGATCCCCAGAAGCTCGTGGGGCTTGAAGCCCTCGCAGACTTACTCTCTCTATCTCAAAGTGATGATAGTACCGTAACCTTTCAAGTGAACCACAACGACCTGGTCGCTAGTAAACAAATGATCGGAGAACTCGTTGGCCGCGTCCTGTTGGAATGCAGTACACGGATCGGTCATAAACTGCTTACAGAGATCCCCGTGGCGGTAGCGAACAAGGAGAAACTGCAGCTAGTTGATGACGAAGACGGTGACGACGAAGAGCATTGGAAGAATCCCACAAATGCAGTTGCAGTGGCGACTTTTGCATCGGCGTTGAGTCTGATGCCGGCTTTGTACGCGTATATATCGCTCAGTAACGAGCAGAAGTTGCTGCTGCTTGTGCGTACCAGTGTGAATGCCGAACGAGTGGTGCGTCGTCGTGCTCATGAGGCGCTTCTGGCACTGATTGGGCCTCAGAAACCTCATTCGACGGAGCCTTTACCTCCTGGTGCTGGGGTGGTCATTCGAGCATTGACCGACTGCATTATGCGGATGCATGTGAGCAGCACGACGGCAGTAAGCGACGCAGGTGGAGCCATTATCATCTTACGACTGCTGAGTTTACTACTGGAGCCATCTCGAGCAGCAGTGACGCGGTGGGAAAGCCCTCGAGCCAGATATGAGGCGTTGATCCAGGTTGAAGCCATCTCCGTGTACCTTCTTGCTCGTGGAGATGACAACATTGAAGCCGAGCAATTGCTGCGACTGGCAGCGTTAGAGACTCTCCAAGTCGCGCATGACGCGCGGTTACGGTGTTCGGAGTCTGCACTTAGAGACTCGATACAGTTCCCCCTAGTTGACCGTCCAAGTGTATGGACGCTTCTGAACGAGCTGGATCCAGAGCTCCAGACGGCGTTCTTCACCTTCAAACAGGTAAAGGCGTCTACAGACAAGCTCTCGGCGCTTCGTCGCTTGATCTTCGACACGTCCGAGCGTCACAGTTTCCGCTGGTCTTTGGGTCTCGCCCGTATCTTCCGAACGCTAACACGACGAGCGCCGGATGTGACGGCGTACATTTGGGCCGATGTAGCGGATAAAGTTGCCAAACTTGAGCCTGTTTTATGCGTGACTTTTATGCCGGATTCCCCGCAGAATCAACGAGAACTCGCGCGATGGAGGAATCTCGCCTTGCTGTCCACTGTCTCGGCCTGTCAAATGCTACAGACACAGACTCGCAAGACCGAAGCGTCTTCTTTTTCGGAGAATTCATCCGAGCCGCCCAGTGTTGCGCCGTCCACGATGGTGGCTACACTGGTACGTCAACTGGCGTGTTATCTGCGTAGTGCTAACGTCGGACAACGCAATGCCGCAGTGTTCGTCTTGGGGCATTCTGGGTCGGTAGCACTATCCACAATGTTGGATGTACTAGGACGACTTGAAGCGGAAGCGTTTACTGCGCCAAGTACTGGAGAACAAGAAGCTTCAGACAACAATTTACCGCAGAATACGATACGTGGACGCAGTGTTAGAACCATGAAGCTCCCGAAGAAAAAGATGCTCGAGTTACAACACGCTCGGGTGACACAACTCACTCTGCAGTGGGCAATTGGTCGATGCTACCGTCTTCTATTGGAGCCACGGACACGTGAACAGAACGAGAGTGAAGAGTTCGAGTCTGGAAGTCCCATGAACGAGCGTCTGCGTCGTGCTGCGTCGGCATTTCTAGCCAAGATGATGGCTACATTCGAGGACTCCACAGCTTCTGTTGATACCAGCGAGTCAAGTGAAACTTCCTTGTCCTTCAATTCGACGTCACTGGACGAGAATCCTGTGCTTCTGATGGTACAACTCGACTTTGTCGCCAGTTTACGGTCCTTGTTACTACATTCCAACGCTGCGTCACAGCCAGTACTACAGTTACCGCACGATAAGCTCGCAGCACTCTTACTCACGTGGTGTGGATCATTCGACAGGGACCTCGCTGACAGATCGTTGATAGGGATTCTCCAATGCGGCTTCGTGTCTCCAACAGCACGTGGCGATCTCTATTCGCACTGGACGCAGCAATGCGATGTCTTCTCTGCTCGTGATGGGAGCGTCCTCTATCCTTGGATATGGGTCGATAACCAGCATCAACTTCTTGGGTCTACAAGTGACGCATGCGCTGCATCGCGGCTTGTAGCTCAGTACGTTCTTTGCCATCGCGCCTTCTCCACATTAGCGGATTTGTTACGCAGCAGTCTCCAGTCACCCAACGGCAACGGGACTTGGGACGGCGAGAGTGTCGTAACGTGGCTGGATGCGAGTTTCAGCGTGGATAGCGCCGCGTTTCAGCATTTCAACGATCTCCACCACTTCGCCCAACGAGCTTTACACGCACTACTGGAACTGCGACCTGGCAGCGCTCGCTTCAACCACATAGTCAAGCGAAGTCTTGATAAAGCGTCTAGTGCGGCACACGCGGAGCTTCCAGTTGCGCGCCAGTATCTACAAGCCCTTGGCGCGTCCAGTGACGTCATGAGCTACTTCCGTTCTCTTCTTCATCGTCTACAAGAACGACACGACACTCAAGACAAAGACGAGTTGTATCTCGCTGTACGTCTTCTCCACGTATTGTTACTTCACGTTGGTATTCAGCACGATGACAAGGTGATGCAACATCGTCAAGTGGCGCTAGATATGGTAGCGGCGCTCGTCTGCGAGCCCGAACTCAACAGCGAAGACGACGAGTCTGCAGCCACTCGCTGGGGACTGCAAGGTTACTACAGTCCCAGTCTTGACGGCCTCGTCGCTGGACGACTGCAAGTGAGTGTGTCAGCTCTACTAGCGTCTCGGTTTTCTGTGCTAAGTCTGCGTGTCAGTCTCGCAATTCTCCGCTCCATGCCGACTAAACCTCTGCAGAACCGAGAAGAGATCGCGCAGCAGCGACAGATGCTTGCTGCGGTGCTGCCGTGGCTCGCTGAAGTGTCTTTGAAAGAGCCCAAAGCGTCCGCCACCAGACCAGAAGAGCTGCTCGAGTTGCTGTTTAACCTCACAGCTGTCCTGGCCGATTCCTGTGGAGAACAACTCGATCATATCTGGCTGACGTTGGCGTTCGCAAGTACCGGGGAAGACGCGAATCTCCGTGAAATCGTCAGCTTTTTGTTCCGACAACGCACGAATCAACTTCCGTCGGAGACTGCAAAGACCGTCATGTGGTGGCTCTGTCGATGGCAAGACGCAGCGTCGGATGTGCTGCGTTTACTGCTACTTCAGCCTCTCAAGCGCAGAGAAGCTGATACTGAAGCTGCGACTGCGTTGGACGAGTTGGGAGCTCTCGTCACGTTGGCTAGCGACACCAGTTGCCACCTTCAAACGTCCTTCAGCGACGTGCGAACGTTGGCTGTTCACTTGGTGCATTTGTCGCTCACGACGCTGTTTGCAGTCCTGGAGAACGATACAATCGACGAGAAGGTGTCACGCAGTATTCGACAGCATTGCCACGTTCTTCTGCACTCCACGCTGCCTCTTCTAGAAGCTCCTCGAGGTCTCCTCGCAGCAGCTTTGCGTCTGATTCAAACGTCGACGTTGATTGTCAATGCTGAAGCGAAAAACACGCAGCTTGAAGCTTTTCTCGAGGCTCTGCGAGCTCTTGCGGCGTGCTTGTCAACCAGCGAATCTCAGATCTGGAGCGACTTGTGCGTGCAGGAGATCGCTCTGTCGATTTCCCCCGACACTTCGTCGCCATTCGAGAGCTTGGATACGATACCAAAGTCCTCGCCACACGAAGTTTGTGTGCGCTTCGCCTTGGTGGCCTACACGCAGCTATCTCCTCGCTTCCAAGGCGACATTCTCCTCTCTGTCCTCACATTACTACGACAAACGTTGACGGTGGGAATAGACGAAAGGAAGTCGCGATCGGTGTCGTTAGCTCGAGAGTGTCTCGCTCTCCTGGCGATGCTGCTGCGAACCATGCCAGTGTCCAGACTGGCGCTGTATCCTCAAGTGTTCTGGGTCTCGCTAGCTCTGCTCACACATTGTCGGCAACAGAGAGACAACTCGTCCGGCTCGAGCTCCTCACTACACGACGGAGCGTTGGAACTTCTGTCCATTATCTGGAGTCGCACCCCGTTCACGAGTCACTCGATGGTGCTGGATGTGATCCAGTGTACACGTCCGGGTCAACGGGCACGCAACAGTGCGCACAACTCCGTCTTGATGGAAGTTGTGCGCTGTGTATACGCAGACGACAGCGTCGCCAGTCGAGCTCGAGCGATGGACATGATGAGGAAGGCTGTACTGCTAGTTCCTCGCTCTCTTCTTGGGGTTTCGAGTCGTGAACATCTCGTCACCTGTACACTCGCTCTGCTGCCGGCGTTGATGGCTCCGTCGAATGAAGAGCAGGAAGTCCGGGAAGACCTGGTCGTCCTGTGGCAGAGTGCAGCTTCTTCAAGTGATGACATCGTGGAGTTTCTCCAGACACGGGACGGTATCCAAGCCTCCGACTTTATCAAGGTATTCGTGCCTGCGCTTTACGCTTTGGAGCTGACTGGGAGCTCGTTTGACGGGTTGAAACTGAGTCTGGACGTCCTTGTAGCGTGCTTGCCGTTGCCTCAAAGGAGCGAAGCCATCCGTACCGACTCGACAGCTACCGATCTGAACGACGAACGCTGCGACTTTGTGTTCGTTCTGCTTGAAGAACTGCTTCAAGATGTCTTGAGACGCAAGGAACGAGTGTGGAGACCTGCGCCAGAACTGGAAGCCACACTGGCGAGACTTCTTCGCAGTCCGAGAAGCGAACGTCAGTGGAGATTGTCCATGCGAGTGCTGAGTTGGGTAGCGGAGATTGCCAAAGTAGCGGCCACGACGGGATCGCTGGTGACTCCGTTGCCCACCAACAGAAGAAACTCAAACGCCTCCGAGTTATCGACAGCTCTTGGACGCATTGCAGAGTCGGAGGACGATCAACTACATGTAGAGGCAAAGACACTGAAGAAGCCGCCACTTCTGCGAGTCGCATCTCCACGCACTCAAAGCAGTGGCAGCAACAGCAAGAAATCCATCAACGAACGACTTAGCAACAACGAAGTGCCAAGGTCTCGCGAACCTTCTTCAAAAGAAGAAGACCATAGTCCATCCACGGAAATTGAGTACACAACCGACACTTAAATGTAGCCATGAAAACACCTACACAAAGCAGCATACAAGAAGACGAATAACTACAAATACGACACTTGTACATCCAAACCTTGCACTGTTAGCAGTCGAATCCAGCAGAACCCTACGTGGAATTTACCTGGTTGGAGTTCGTTCGTCCTTTTCTATGCCCACAGTTCCTGGATGTAGCGGTGGTCATCCTGGAGTTTCTTAAGTGTAGCCATCGCCTCATCGGAGGACAGACCGCCGTACTTCTCGATGATCTCGTGCAGCACCTTGTTCACATCGTTGCCCATCCCTGTGGCTCCACACACGTAGATGTACGCGTCATGGTCGCGAATAAGTTCCCACGTCTTGAGTCCGTTCTGCAGCAACAAATGCTGCACATAAACCTTCTTCTCCTGCTCCCGCGAGAACGCCAAGTGCAGTTCACTGAGCACACCGGAATTCTGGAAACTCTCGAGCTCATTTTTGTAAATAAAGTCCTCGTCACGACGTCGACAGCCGAAATACATGATGGATTGGCCCACAGTCTCGCCGTCTTGTTGCTGCTGGGCACGTTCGTGCAGGAACGCACGCATGGGGGCGATGCCCGTGCCCGGGCCGATGAGAATGATAGGCGTCAAAGGGCTGGCAGGCAGACGGAAGGTCGACGCGCGCATGAAGATGCGCGCTGTAGGCCACTCACGCGGCTTCTTGGCTCCTTGTTCACCTGGACGACTGTCTCGCTTCTTCTTGTCATCTGTATGACTCTCAAGAGGCTGCAAACGCCCCAAGTAGTTGGAACACACCCCTCGGAACACACGACCATCACTCTTCGTACTCTCAATGAGACTCACAGTAGCGTGGACACGCTGCGGGTTCACCAGACTGGACGACGCGATGGTGTAGTACCGTGGCTGTAAGAACGGGACGATGTGAAGCAGATCCTTAACCGTTAAGTTAACTGATCGGAAGTGGGTTAACACGTCGACAAACGAGCGTTCGTCTTCCAGTACCCACTTCTGGTACGCGTCTTTGCCTTCTTTCGACGATAAACGCACCAGCTCGTCACGTTCCGCTTGGTTCTTTGCAAAATACGCCAGTTGTTTCAATGGGCCCTTACGTGGAGCGCTGTTAATTGCCAGATAACGTGTTAGAATGTCTTCGATCGTGCTTGGAGACGGGAACGGGAGCTCGCAGTGGAGATCTTCAGCCACAGGCTTGAGAGCCACCCATTGGTCCAAATCCAAGTCCAGACGAGTCGCTAGACTCTCGACGACTCTCGTCTCATTCTCAGGCAGGACGGCAAGGTTATCGGCCGTCTCGTAGGTCACTCCAGTGCCTCGAAGATCCAGTTCCACATGCACCGTGGAGCCTCCCGCAGTCGACAGACGCAGCTCTCGGTTCACCACAACTTTCGCCTGGTTGGCCGTGAAGAAATGCTTGGTCGACGCCTTCATTTTGACCTCTTTGGGTGCATTTTCCACTTGTTTCTTGCGGATTTCCACCAGTTCGTACTCGTACTCAGGAGGCGTCAGCTTGTGCTCGTCCTGCTTCACTTCGGTATCTTCCTCACTGTTTCCCGCGATAAACTGCTTCCTCAGAGCTCTCCACAGTGGCTCCTTCCAGTCGTCAAAGTCTTCGTCCAAACTGGCGTCATCATCGCCCTCTCCATAGTGGAACACTCTCTCGGCTCCATACTTTTCCATAAACCTATCAGTCATGCGTCCCATCTCGTTATAGTGCTCGTACTGGGTGTTACCGAGGCCAAAGACAGTAAAGTGGACGCTGTCGAACGTCTTCGGCTCCAGATTTCCCGCTTTATCCTTAAGAAAATCGATAAAATCCACGGCATTGTCAGTCGGATCACCTTCACCATATGTAGCCATGATGAAGATGACCAGCTTCTCGTCTTTCAGCTTGGAGGCCGCGTCGTAGTCCTCCAGATCGATAGCGTGGGTCTGGAAGCCAGCTTTACGTCCCTCTGCCTTCAGGACCTCAGCGAAGCCCTCGGCAGTGCCAGTTTGAGAGCCGAATAAGATGGCTACACGACCGCCAGGGTAGGCGGGACTCTCCTCGACGCTGGGTTGTTGGACGGAAGGCGCGGGCTCGGCCGCTTCCTTGTACATTTTCATCTGCTGGCCGATACGCAGCATCTCCTCGGCCAGTTTGTCCTTCTTAGGCTTAGGCTCCCGCAGGAACAGCACGGCGGTGGCCAGCATGGCCAGCAAGGAGCCTACGACCACGTACGAGTCTGTCATGTTGCCACTTTGGTGAATTGGGGAATGACGCAGTTTGCGAGTTTGGGTACAGAAAAGTGGGACCCAGGTTTGGTGGTGGAGAAACCACTGGTACAGTCAAAGGTACATGTCGACAGACGAGGGACGAGTGAGTTGACTCCGACTGACTGAGTCAGTGACTCGTAAGGGCTTCGATGAGGAGGTGCTGAAAGGAGGTGAAGAACTGGACGTGGCCAAACTAGTATCGTCACGCTACTAGCGTGTGGATTCGGAGATGCTTCAATAGCTACAATATAGTAATATTATAAACTTTCTCGAAGTATTACGCATTAAGTTTGCGCTGCAGCCGATATTCCTCGAGGTGAAGGGACTTCTTTAGTTAGCTTAGATTGGTTGCTTACGGCTGACAATGCCAAAGTCACTCACAGCGTAACACTGTTGATGGCCTCCACACGAGTGTGGCACGCTTGGTCTGAGTTTTTTTTTGCTTCAACTTCTTGTCCGGTGGTAGCAGTCAACATTGATAACGAACGAAATCTGGCACTGCGTACGGCAAAGACCTGCCGTCTTTACTAAAATACCGATGAAGAATTCCTTACATATCAAGACCGTGCATGTAAAATAACCCGGATACGATCACGTACTGACCTGGTGAGTAAGGTCACCGTAATCACAACTGCCAGCGAATCTCAAACGAAAATGATACAGTTTAAGCACTTTGAGATTCGCACCCAGGTGCCAAGAAGAACCGCCATGGTCTCTTTATGGTTTGCACTCTTAACACTTGCCATAATTGCAGTTGGGTGCGATGCCCTAACAAATAAGGAGGCTACGGACCCGAAAAATACCTTCATGGAGTCGACGTCTGTCAATGGAAACGGGGGCAGTGCGAGCAGAAAGATGCTTCTGAGGAGAAACGGCGATGAATTTCTGGAAGATTTTGGCACTGAGGAGGACGATTCATCCGAAGCGGCGGACAACGTGACTAAATAGGAGATGGCCTGACATGAACGAGATCTTAAGCTGGTGTTGGTGACCGAGTAAGTTAGACCTAAGTTCTTTCATAGCTCATGTAGTGTGTATGAAGCACTTTTAAAATGAAAGTACCGCTGTGTGCGTAAGATGTGATTTTAATCACAAGTGGTGTGTAAAAACACCACTTGAACAGTACTGGTATTTCGCAAGTACATTTGTACTAAATTCGCAGTGACCTTTCGCTCCACTCCCAATTGAGGCTCCCAAGAAGGCAGACTTTGCTACGAAAACATTGCTACAGGCAAAAGACCACGACGCGCTACCGAGACCAGGTACGTTGCCCTGCGTCGGCTCATCCCTCCCACAACCAATCGATGCGAGGGCCTCTTCTCGCAGTGCAAGTTCGTGTTGAGCCCTCTACGCTCTAGTTTGCTTCCAGCAAACTTCGAGATGATCGTATATTTGCTTGCTAGCTGTGAGCTCTGGGACGTTACCGTTCTCTTGGAATTAAGCAGCCCTGACGACCAAGGAGCTGAGTAGATAAAATGCTCGCGTTGTGCAGACCGGGGGAGTAGGTCCAGACCCGGAGAACCTGTAATATTAAGTATAATAGATTTTGGGTAGAATATAGCTAATAGGAGGTCATTAACTATCCTTTACACAAAACCCATATCCGCTGGTGGACTGTCTTGTGCCGTCGCCGGAACAAGTGACAGCCACCGGCTTCGTAACAGGTGTGGTATTTAAACCCATGTGTAGTGGATCGGAAGGGAGTTCTGACCCTAGCAATACTTAAAAATAATTGCAATACTCATTTTTGGCTCTGTCATTAGTACAGTAACGTATTACGATTTTTTTTAGCGTAATCAGTTCAATTTTATATTTAATTTATTGAGTATCCGCGACCAAAAGAAAACCGCTGATTGTACGATTCAGCACATGGCGTAATTGGATTGGTAGTGAGGCACGTTGTACAGTGCGCGTCGTAATTATAGCCGCACCTGAAAAATAGAGCTCTTGCGCCAGAAACTGAGAGCTGCCTGCAATCGAAGGGCTCGGAGGCCGTCTTAAAGGGATAGAAGACTTGTGCGTTGAAAACGACTTAGTCGGCTTGGAGCCAGGAGGCAAAATCTGGTTTGAGGTCGGGTCAGAATTATAGCCGCACTTGCAGGCTCTAAGGCTGCGGTTTTAAAATACTACTATAATTTCAATCGTTTTGACTTGATTTCACTATTGCGTATCATCGACCAAAAGAAAAACGCCGATTGCACACAGCCATTAATCAGCAAACGGCGTAAATGGATTGGTAGCGTACCACGTATATACACCTGCCGTGCTGGATGTCGGTGGACGTTGTGGTAACGCGGGGCAGAAGAAAACAACATCAACAACTAAGCTCGCACAAAAATGCTGAGGGATGACGCTCCCCGGTAACAGGTTGTTTAAACCCGTTGCTGCCATAGATACGATCATATTAGCTGCCGAAAGTAAAGCGGCGACATGCGGCTTTATGACTTACATTTTATCAGAGACTCCATTAAGTTCATCCCGGTGGGAGCTGCTGTCCTCACCGCAGGCTTATCCCAAAATTTGTGGTCTTAGCCTGTTACAGTAGTACATCCAATGAGGATAGGCATTCGTTTTCTACCAATCAACGAGGAGTCAAGGGGGTTTCTAGAAGTTTCCCACTTGAACCATTTGGCGGTGACCCGAGTCACCATAATGACCCGGCTCTCAAAAATCGTTTTAAAAAGTACATTACTTATAGATACGAAGCTACACACTTACCTATTGGTTCGAAGAAGAAGAGTTTTGATGGATTTAAATATCGGGGCTGCACTTTTCTAGTCGAACACATAAATCTTCTTGGGTACGGGAAAGTCGCACACCAAGGTAATGAAGATGTACGTCCTGAGCTCACCTGCAGTACTGAATAACTCTTCACTCAGCCCCCTCTGCTTTTTTTCTAATTTATTTCCCATAATAACTTCTACGTAATCTTTGGTCCCACAAAATACTGCCTAGGACGCCGATGTGAGCACGGAAAACCGTCTTCAAGCTCCCAGTCTGCACAAGATAAAATAAAAAGAAAACATCGTCTTCACTGAAAGAATGTTTTGGAGTAGTACCGCGGTGACGTGTTTGGTTTGCAGCGTATCAATGCCGGTTTCAATCACTCCTTTTAGTCTCTGTATCATTGAGCCTCCAACTGCGAAAACAGCGCGTATCTGTGCGTCTGCTTCACCTGGGCGAATAAAACAAAGAACCATTCCTTTAGCCTGGCTGTGCTTAGACCCTCCCCACGTCGAATTTAAGGATCGGTACGTTTCTTGCGGTTGACGGACAGTATTTTCGCCCAGTGCCTCGCAAGCACGATATATAGGTGATGACTTATGTGATACCGCTCTATGGCGACTAGGCATCGCCCCCGGAACCTCCTCTTCGACGCTGCGCTCTACCGTCTTCATCGACATGACTGTCACTGATCATCCCCTCGATGGCTTCAGTCTGGTTGCCTGTAGGTATGCTGTAATCAGGAGCTGCTGGAGCTGCTGGGACAGGTTGCTGGTCGCTCATGAGCTTACCGAAGCAAAAATGGCAGCACCAGAGCGACCTTATTGGTATGTGAAAAAATCCCCATGACCTTTTTTGTCGGTGACCCGGGTCACCGCCACACATTTCAATTATTTGGGAAATAGTGAGTTTTATTGGAGAAATGACGATACAAATTCCAAGAGTAAGTATTAATTTATTCATAACATAATTTTTTGATTTAACCAATGGTTCTATTGACTCTCACTTTGAAAAGATGCAGCGAGCGGCGAGAGGACTAGACATCCCGCAAGGGACGGCGGGTCAGAAGGCAGCAGCGATGAAGTGCTTTCTTGAATTATTATATCCTGGGTATACGAATGATGACTATATTGGTAGCATTGCTAATACTATGTCCGCTCCTGTCGCCTGGCCAGTCAAAACATCTACTCTTTGCTAACAGCTTTTTCAATTTTTCGGCAAACAAAGCCAAGTGCACTCTCCTTAAGGCAGCTGCACTTCGTTATATGTCCCAAGTGATTAACCTTTTGCGTGAGCGGTTTCCTGCTCACTTGTCCGACAGCAAAATAATTGCAAAGATTCGTCGCTGTCGAGGAGCGAAATTTGCGCGTTGGTCAGCAAACAGCGGAAGCACCTGGATGCACACTTAACGACCTGCATGTTTTCGTGCAAGAAACAACAATAAAGGGCGCTGGACAGGTTGTAAGAGTATGCATGATGTTGCTGTACCGAAGCTAATGTGGCATACATTCGGACGTGCCATCGATACCTGCTTTACTCAGAAAAAGCAGCTGTCAATAGCTGTATCGGGGAAGCTCTTTCCGCACGTCGCTCGGGCTAAACCTTCTGTGGTCCAAAGTATATATGTACAACGTTGCCATACACTGGGAGCAGTGCATGCTGCACACCTTAAGAATGTGACTCACCGGTGCTTCGGAGCCTTCCAGCTACGTGTTTCCGTCGGAGCCTCACGTGCGTCTTCAGATCTATCTGGAGAAAAAAACTATCGTCAGGAGGAGGCTATTTTCTACTGGGAGAGATTGGAGAATAAAGACAATGAGCTGGAAGATCCTCCTGCAAAGTGCGTACGTGGAAGGCCTAACCTATCCAAGTATATAAACGACCTCATCACTCTGATGTCCGATCGACAGACCAAGTCTGCTACCCTTATGCCTTCTGAGCTGACCACCAGTCACTCTTTACGTCGTGGCTCAGCTTCATATGCAAACGTGTCTCCGTGGCTCTCGATTCAGTGGATTTCCACGCGTGGAGATTGGCTGCTGGACTCGCTCACCAAAACTTTAGCCTACGTAGGCACCACTTCGCACGAGGACCAGAGTGTAGACAAAGTATTGGCCGGCTACAAGGACCCTCACCTGCCATGCGTCACACCTTCCGTTTCCACGTTGAAGGAGTTGCTGTCGGGCTTTGAGTATACACAGGTGCTGTCGCTGCGTGCCCAGCTCTTCAAGACATGAAGACTCGAGCCCCAATGTCGAAAAGCCATCAGCAAAAAAAATGAACATGTAAAAAGAGGGCTGTCAAAAACAGCGCATAATATTTCTGTTTTTAAACCGACAAAATGAATTGGAATTTGACGATATTGTGTCTTATTTCGTCCTCTTTTTAAGGACAAAATTTGTTGAGGTATTCAATATACTAGAAGTTTATGAGGTGCGAGCTATGACGTCATCGCTGTTAGAAACCCTTGTATTAAATTTCACTCACCCACTAGTCTGGGCGGTTTAAAGTAATTCGGTGTAGCTAAACGGACATCCATGTAAACCGACACAAATTTTAAAATGTCGTGTCTCCTGAAGAATCTGTCAAGCACGCTTTAGTTTTTACCTTTAAGTTTTATTAACAGGTGCTTCTAGTGACCATCAGGGATCCCCAAAATAAAATAAAATCGCTCTGGCGAATCTACTAGAAAATACAGATTTCATTGATGCTTCAGATTGAGGTAAATAAATAACTGGAATACTTGGAAACGTGCAGTAAATTATTACTACAATCGTGTTAGTTGACCTACACAGCCGTCGATAAACAAGAGTCCACAGTAGCTACGTTCCAGAAACTCGCGTTGACCTTCAGAAATAAGATCATTTCTAAGGTCAAAGGCGACATCCGGTGACGCTCGAGACGCAAGACCGCTCGAGCCACGCTGAAGAGCCTCTCCACGATGTTTGACGTCGGAGGGATGGCACTTAACAGCTTGTACCTGACAGGCTCCGCGGAAATCTTGCGGCGCTTTAGAATCTGGCGAGCAAAGCCATCCGCATCCGGTGGAGACGCTGGTGACGCGCTCGTTGCTGCCGCTTCGAGCTGACGGAATGGCTCCAATACCGTTATCTCCATTGCCGTCAACTCAACCGTTTTCCCAGCCAATACCTTGACCACAGCTGCCTCAAAAGCCTGCGCGTGAATGATACCTGCATCTGGAGCTAGACATAAAAAAATTAATACAAGAATCCAAAACATTTCAAATAAAAAACACTTACCAAGGTACTTGCTCATTGAAGGACGAATCTCCAACAGACCATCAAAAAGATCCCTGGCATCCAACAGAGTAAGTCCGTCGGACTGTAGCATCTTGGAAACGGACTCAACGCATCGAAGCTTGGACAAGAGCTCCTCTAGCTGGCGGTGTGTCGTCCGGGATGGCAACATGTCGGCCAGCTCGTCGTCGTCAGCTGAGAGGAACTCTCTCAGCCTGAAGTAGCGCTTCAGCATCGAGAATGTCGAGGCTCAGCGCGTGTCCTGACGCATAATTTGGTACCAGCGGCGTTTTGAATCTGTACCAAAATAAAATCACAGACCAAAAAATAGTATTCCACAATTACATTAACAAAAATGAATTGGATACAAAAATACAGATCACGGTACCTCAGCTTTGCGGCTTGCTTGAGGGTACGTAGCTTGCGCATTAACTGCTGAACCTCCTCTAGTGCGGGTTCGTGCGGAGCCAGGTAATCTCGAACCGCGAGGTTAAGTCGGTGGCTGGCGCATCCGACTAGCGGGACGCCCATGATGTTGGCAAGGCGCTTGTTAACCGAGCAGTTGTCCCCAACGAGGAACTTACACCCCTCAATAGATTTCCCAAAAAAGGGTAAAAAACGCTCAATAGCAAGCAAATGCCCATCCGCGGACAGCTGATCGTCCGGTTCCTCCATTATTGGAGCCATTGATAAAAGGGGGTAGCATGGCCCGTTGGGTTCATCGTAACAAGCGTAGACAGCCAGGAAGTGTTCCGTTCCGTGGCTCCAGCCATCGAGCATAAGCCCAAACTCATCGGGCATCTCCTCACCAATAGACCGCTCTACAGCCTTGGTGAGGTCTTCCATGTTAGACACCAAAGTTCCAACAGAGACGGGCGCCAAGTTCGTATTCCTGTTCAAACGCACGTATACGAAATTAGTTCAAATCATAAATAGTCCGATAGAATTTGTGTACTTACTTGCGCGTCCAACTCGACTCGCAGAAGTTGAGCGGCAGATTGCCCTCGACAACCCACTTCAACCACGCGTAACGGTTCGATGCCTTCTGGCTCACCCAGGGAACAAGTGTTCCAGTCGCAGCAGCGCTCGCGTCACGCATCTCGCTCTCGAACCTTGGGTGCGACGCGCGAACGTGCGTCACTAGGTTAGTGTAGCCGCTCCGAGGAGCGTGTTTACGCCGTTTGCCACAGGCCTTGCAGGCATGGTAGCCTGTAATGTCGCCTTCTTCGTCCAGCACGGGCTTGAAGAAGATGGCGGCAATTTGCCTTGGATGAGAAAGGCTGAGTTTTCTGAGTCGTATCGACGAGATTGGCGAGCATGGCAGTATTGCGCGTGTCGGCAGGATGGCAGAGAAGTGCAAATTTAGAAATGCAACGAAGTGCTGCGGTCAGTGACTCTCCGGGAGTACTTGGAAGCTGACTG